GAACCGTTTTCCGCTTACATCCACGGCAATCACTTTTGTAATGATTGACCAGACTCACGAATATCTTTAAAGTTTTAGGAGATTAGCCAAGTAAGAATTGAGTGTGCCATACGTCAAGCCACCTAAAAACGTTTGCGATTTCAGCTCAGCGGCAACCATCAGATAGTGACATCACCTTGCGAACTGCCAAAGTCGACCTTAATCACTTGCCTCCGCGTTGCACATTATCGTCGATGGTGCCACATTCTTAAACACAGTATCTCATAGACTACTCCCCAATGGTAGGGCACAATTTCATCGGAAGTCATCCTCTGCAGCATGGCTTTCCACAAATAAGCCTTAAATTAAGCTCAACGATTTGATGATGCCATCTCACAAGGCAAAAGTCTTTGTCCATACTTGTTTGCATTATGCAGGTGACGCAAGCAAAACACCCGGCGTTGACCTCTGCTGTCCTGCCGCTTTGGCTCTTTAGTTGGCAACAGTTGATGGTTGCTATCACCTGGAGTTGTTTGTGCATGCATGCGTCCATTGGAAGGAATCCCAATACCGCAAAATAGAAGAACATACACTTCGTCCATTTACACATTAGTGAGCCACACAATACGTATGTGTCGTTGGACACAAAAATCGCCTCGTGTCAACTACAATTGTATCCGACACCACTCTCATTCACTGTAACAGTGTAGCTCTGAAACGAACAATAGGTGAAAAGTTTGGTACCAGGAAATGATTCAGCATAATATGAAGTGCTCGCATCAGTTAGTTGAGAGATTGGATTCCCACAACTTGCCCAGCAGAACCACAGCAATTACGATGACACCCTTAATGGTGCCTCAAACTTTGGAGCTATTGAAATATTGACCTTAAGGCTTGGTTACAATAACCTGCTGTAAAGGCTAGGAGGATTTTTCCTGCGTGCTCTCCAATCTCTACTGCAACGGAGATTAGGCCCGTCTCTAAGGCACAATCATCCAATGTAGGTGAATAAAAAGTGTGACTTTGAAGAATGTTAAGCAGCATTGTAGAGCTAAAAGTGCATAAATCACAAAGCCACGTAAGAATGTAGAAGTCGATGATGACACGATATATGGAGGAACATTTTTCACTACACAGGTCAGCAATAATCGAATAAGCGTTGGTTAATCCATACACGTGTGTTTTTGAGACCGAACCTAAGACTAAGCTGATAGACGCCACACCGCCTCTGAAAATTTGCCTGCATCCGTTTGTATTGGCGAACACAAGGGATGGAGGTAAGCGCATCCCGAGGAGTGCGTCCATACGCCACCGTCTTCAAGGCGCAATCCGTTGCCAAGGCGAAAATCGTATTGCATCTCGTAAGTGTGTTCCTTTGTCCTCCCTCACATGTTAAGAGGATCTTGCAATGAGTTTCAATAATGGTCAAGGGGTTGCGGATTTACATTAGGTTACTTTTTCCCTTGATAGCGACAAAACTCATGTCGTATTTACGTCGGATATCTAACAAAACATTGATATTTTTATGCTTAGCATTTCTAAATTCTAACATCGCACTTAAACAGCAATGGTGAGTGTAAGGGAACAACCACGTACGAACTATTAGTGGAGTCGATTCCAATAATTCGAACTCAGGATTTATTTTTTAATTACTGACATGTTGCAAACAGTTGCCTTGGCAACTGGACGAGGGACAGATTCATCGAAATGAACCATCGCCGTGGACATTCCAAAAAGCCAACCCATTCATCACCCACCCTTTTGATAATAGCAGTTGCGTGAGGAAGACCAAAAGGTACCATTAAGGGCAATTCCCCTTTATGGAGCGCTACATACTACTTATCTTACCGATTGCCAAAATTGTACGCCAAGTGGCTGGAGCGTGGTGATTTGAAAGAGATATTTGACTACCGAACCTTGTAAAATTTGCTTTAAATGGTAATTTTTTGTCTTTGTAATAGCTTAAATCAAATAAAAATGACTAAAATCATGCGTGGAGCGAGCAAATGTGTGTGGCAGCTAAGGCGAATGGATGAGTTGACGGGAAGGACTTCTCTGCTCACGAGATTGTAAGCGCAACTGCTGATGCTTATTCCCTGTGCATCCATACAAATGTTTGGGCAATTTATATCTGGATCCACGTTGGCATGCTTTAAGACCATATATAACGCAAATAATGAGGAGAAACATTCTCCGGTCTCGTGATGCTAGTAGGTGAGAGCACACACAGCAACTTATGCATTGCATCAAAGTTCGTCTGAGGAACACTTAAGCTAATTTTAATTTGCCTTCCGTTTAAAAAAATAAATTTGGCAGAGACATTCAGTCGGTTAGTAATGAGTGACAATGGCCTGGGAGGAGAGCGTTGTGACCTTTCAATGCAACACGTGAAGTGTCTTGCAGGTTGATGAAGAGGAAAGTGTGGCAGTCGTTCACACAAGGCCTAACATTTGCCATGAGTGTGCTGACGATAAGGTCAACTCGTCTGTCCTCACGAAGGCACAATTCTTAGCAAAAATGCTGGAGTCAAATAGTTCAGGCACACAGGGAACATCAATTTTAAACCATGACTGTTGTTAGAACAAGATACGTAATTACCGCACCATTTTTGGCAGTGCTCACCGCTGCAGGCAGGTATTAACACAGCCTTAGTAATGAAGGTTTTTAATCTATTTAAAGGAGTTGACCATGTAATATATTCTAGGTTGTTTAAGTGTACTTTGATAGGTGGGAGATGGGAACCAATTGGGAACGCGTGAAGCCGGCGAGGAGTCTCCCTCCCACTGATATTTCCTACTTACTTCATCTGTATCCCATTCCCCATCCTTCCTAATAACAATGCCTAATAAATCGTCTGCAATTAACTGCCTCTTGAAGTCTGAGGATCGGAGACCAGAGGGTAGACAGGCAGCTCTCACGGGACATTCTAAAATAATTGGGAATAAAATTCTACGAGGCATTTCGGTGGTGAAACGCCAGCAACGATGAGACTGTTGCACACATCCGCCACCCAAAGGCAATCGCAAGTCGCATCCAGCCTAATCTTGCAACTCCCATTTGCTTCCTTGCGGGCTTGAGTGTACACAGAAATAGCAATATGTAAATGCATCGCTTAACGCTTCCCAAACACTGCCAGCTCAAATGTTACTTTGTTCTCTAAGAGTGCAAGACCTTAACGGGAATTCGTGAAAACTCGTGTGTGATCTTTCGAACAAAGTGGACATAAAGAGCTCGACCTTAATGCTCTTCACCGATTAAAGGAGTTATAAGGTTGAAGGGTCCGACTTATGCACAAACGGGCACGACATCATCACCATCACCTTAATCCCTTCTGACGTTCTCACTGTCACATCGTCACTTGCATTTCTTTGGTCGATGCTTTGATAAACCCCAATCGCATGGTATTTGTGGCCCTTGGGTTTTCACTTCATTATTTTCACTTGGCCTTTAACAAATCGCTTTGAGGGAAGCGTCAATAATTTTGAAGTAGATTTTAAAAGGAATGCATTTAAGGCTGTTGATGAACTGTTTCGGACTAAATGTGCTAACTTAGCGGGATGACGTTGCCATCCCTTGCAGACATTACAAGTTAGTATTACCAGCATTAGCAACAACGGTTGAGCGAGACAACAAACCAAACCCTCCATCCGGCGTCTTTGCTTCGATGGAATTTATCAACTACGGCAACAAAAACGCATTGACAAATGCATTTTGGTTCGTGCAGCCAGGGTAGCAATCATAGACAATTAAAGCTTAGGCATTGCGTCTCAAATCCTGCAGTGGTTTGCCATGCTGTTTGGATGAGAGCTCTAACATTTGCTAGCTGCCACTTAAAAGTAGTATCCCACAGCAACCCAAGCGCATTTAAGGAAGTAGCAGATTAGGAGGAGCATTTCAACATAATCGTCTTTCGAAAGGACTAATGTAACCCTTAGTCGGCATGCATGCAAGTTCGAGTAATTCACTTTTTAGTATGGAAACCATCGCCTGTTTTAAACAGCCTGAGGCAGTTTAGAAGGATCTGCTTCCATTTTATTTTGGTGTAACAATAGTAAACAGAAAACGGTGACCTAATTATCAAGAAAAATCTAGCTAAGCGGACGAAAATGCTTATTTTGAGGCTTTCAACTACGTCTTCATGGAGTTTAATCAATCACTTGCATGCTGAAGAATGAGCTTGGCAAGCATACTATTGCTGCCGGGTGGTTCGAGGTCATTCAATCATAACCAAGGATCTGATCACACCGAAAAGTAGTGAGGCGGCTTTAACATGTGATTGCAGTCGTCTGACGTCGGAAGAGTGAACGGCTTCTGCTTTCCTGACCAATGCTTGCAACTACTTGATATAAATTACCCCATTGAAAATTTGGATTGTGCATTTACAGACTAATGTGGCGTTGATGTTGCTTTAAACGATGTTAGGGGTAGTTCCATATCGATAATTTTATAATCCTTCTGCCCCTGTAAATGACTACTTCCTTTTTGGAAGCCATCAATTCATCGAGAGCATCATTTTGCTAGTGAAGTTGCTGAGCGAAATTGGACGCCGTGAACACAGTGAGAAAGGAGCGTTCACATTTTCTAGCAGATCAATTGTGGCTAGACTGCTCAAATTGGCCTAAAAATGAAGCAAGATGAGGATTGTAAGACTGAGCGCGTGAATCAGCTGCATTTTGTGAATACATAAGTAAATTTCTACGCAACTCAATTCGTCAAACCACAAGGAAAGTTGTTTTGGTTCACATTTGTACTTATGCTAAATCTATTTGCGGTAAAACCAAAGACGCATTTCCTTTGAGATATTTTATTTGATCTTTACAAACTCAAGGTTGGCATGAAACATGGAGAGCAGCTAGATTTACAACAGAATGGATAAGTTGGCATCCTATAAGTGGTTAATGGCGAAGGCGGCGTCGACAACGAGATGCTAACATATGATCGAAAGCAATGATCCCATTACGTTTGCGGTATCTTAGGGTTTCTCGTCAAATCCTGATAAAAGCCATTATCTTGAGTAAACTTTATTTTGATTTCAAGGCACGAAACAACTTAAAGAGGGCTTGCAAACCGTCCGTTAGCTCTTCATCCTCAATCGAACACGGACAGCTCTTTACTGACTTCGAGGAAAGCGCACACTCACTCGAACCTGAACACTCTTTCACAGCCGGCGAAGCGACCATCACCTCCGCCGTGGGCTCCGCCTTGAACACAGCTGAGCCTGCACACTTCTTCACTGGTTGTGGAGGAAGAATAACCTCAGTCGTGGGCTCTGTCTTGAACACGGTGGAGTACACACACTTCTTCACAGGTTGTGGAGGGAACACAAACTCAGTCGGTGGCTCCACCTTCAACAC